AATTCTTTTGGTTTTGCATAGTCCTTAAGAGTTCATTTCCTAGGTTGGTATCTGGCTAGTACAATCCTGTGTCCTGTATTCAGCCTGTGGGCTGATGTTGTTTGTTCTCAGATTGAAGGACTCCCTTTAATAAGTCTTGAAAGTTTAGTTTGGTTTTTACATGGTCCCTGAATTTCTGTTTATCTGGAAATGTCCTAATTTCACCATCATATCTGAACAAGAGTTTTGCGGGATATATTATTCTTGGCTGGCAATTTTTTTCTTTCAAGGTTTTATATATGTCATCCCATTGCCTTCTTGCCTGCGTGGTTTCTGCTGAGTAATCTGAGCTTAGTCTTATTGTTTCTCCTCTGTATGTGACGTTTTGTTTTTCTCAAGCTGCTCTCAGTATTCTTTGTCTTTGGTTTTAATGAGTGTGATTATGATATGCCTTGGTGATTTTCTTTTGGGGTCTATCCTATATGGTGTCTGTTGAGCTTCTTGGATGGTCAGCTTTTCATCTTTCATGATATTGAGGAAGTTTTCTGTCAGCAATTCTTCAGTGATCCTCTCTGTTTTCTGTTTTCTCCCCCTGTTCTGGAACTCCAATCACTTGCAGATTTTTGCTTTTGATTGTATCCCACATAATTCTTAGGGTTTTTTCATTTTTTCTTCATTCTTTTTTCTGATTTTTCCTGTATCCAAGTGTTTGTCTTCAATTTTGCTGATCCTATCTTCCATCATTTCAAACTTGTTCCTCAGCCCTTCTGTGACACTGTCCATTTCTAAAATTTCCTTGTTTATCTTTTGGATTTCTAATTTTTGTTTTTGTATCATTTCTAGTTGTGAATTTATTTTAACATTTTGTTCCTGTATTATTTTCTTGAATTCTTCCATTTTTTGGTCTGTACTTGCCATGAATTTATCTGGCTTTTCCATGAATTCATCTATTTTTCCACATTTTTGTCTGGTTTTTGCTTCAACTCTTGGATAATTCTGAATATTAGAGATTTGAATTCCCTATCAGTTAGGTCTAGTGCCTTTTCTTCTACTGGAAGGTCATCCGGTGTTTTATTTTGGACGCCTACTGGAACCATTCTGTCCTGTTTTTGTAAATGTTTTGATATTGTCTGCTGTCTTTGGGGCATTCATACGCACAAAGAAGAGTGCTAAGGGAGCTTGCTATTGGAGTGGAGAGATGAGGGACTGAGAAATGGGGAAAAACAAAGATGAAAAAAAAAAGAAAAAGGGTAAAAGAAAAAATGAATAAACCGATAAACTGGAAATGAAGAAAGACAAAAGGGAATAAGAAAGAGAAGAAAACAAAACAAAGAAACAAACAAACAAAAACAAACAAACAAACAAAAAACAAGAAAAAAGAAATGTCCTCAGGGATGTCCCTGTGCATCTGCGCGGAGTAAGGGACTAGCTTCCAAACCATGAGGTACTGCCTGGCTAGAAGGAGCTCCCAAGCCGAGAAAAGAAAAAGAAAACGAACAAACAAATCAAAACAGAACAAATCAGAGCAAACAAACAAACAGAAAAGCCCCGGGGTTCCCGCCAGCGTGGCGGCACGGGCTGGGAAACAGTTTCACAGTCAAGTGGTATTTCACACCCTTTCAGGAAGAAGCAGAGATGGCGCACGGAGCCAGGTATTTGAGAGAATGGAGGGGGAGGTGGTGAGAAGTAAGGAAGAAATCTAGAGAAGCAGAAAAAAGCAACACTAGCAGCCAACAGAAGGCACTGAAGGAGCTGGCCATTGTGGGCGGGTGGAATCCAGGTGACACTGGGGTGAAGCTGTTGCTTCCTGGCCAAGGGACTGTGGCTACAGGAAGCAGAGGAGGCTGAGTGGGGGTGAAGAAGGGTGGGGGATGTGAAGGTGTTTATCACTGGTTACTGGTTGTTCTATTTCCTGCTGGAAGCTCTGTGAAGCTGCTTTCTCGTACCCCGTTAGCTGATCTCCCTTTCCTAGATGGCGGATCTGTGCTGTGGTAGCTGATAGGGGACCTCTGCATGTATCTCTCCTCGCTTTCTGTTCTTGGTCAGTTTCTTATTCTATTTGGTGCTTGGCTGAGTTCTTTATCTCGTCATTTGATGCTTAGGGTTTCAGGATTGACGTATGACTCTGTTTGACTTAGTTTTTCTGATCTTTGCTGCAGAGGGACGGCGTGGTGCTTCTGACTATAGCGCCACGTTGCCCAGTAGCTTATAGGTTTTTATTTCTTTCTTAATAGGTTGGGAATTTTTTTTTTTCCTTTGCAGTGCTTTGGTTGCTGTATTAAATATATCTTTATATTCCAAATTCTGACATTTTTAGCTACTGCATTATTTAGACTGTTGTGATTTACTGCTTTTTGTTTTTGGGAGAAAAAATATTAGATCTTATCTGCCCTCAGCTTTTGCAAATTATATAGTTGTTGGTTGTTGTCTTAACCACATTTGGTAGAACTTAGTAGTATTTCACCAGTTTTGCAGCTGAATGAATTCAAATTAAGGTTAAAATTCATGAAAATGGTACATTTGAAATGGTTTTTATGTTTTTGAATAGTTACTATGGTCTGCCTGTTGAGCGGACTTTTTTCCTTTGTCTTTTCTGCTTCCCACAAGTTTTTCATTTTTATGAAGGGTTGAAAATAAATTCATTCTTAAATTATTTTCTTAAATAAATACCTAGTCATCGAGAAGTTAAATAGATCCAAAGCCTCACTCATACCACTTTCTAATATTCTCATTTATATAGTTATTGAGGGGATCATGTGAAAGATGAATTAAACATGGGAGAAGTAATACTAAAATTGATAACAAGTGCTTTGTCCTAATCAGGAAATGATGCACAGCAATAGCTATGATGCAGGTGTTTTCAGAGCATTGTCAGTGAAGAGTTCTCATCAATTTTACATCTATTTGCTTCTGAACATTTTTATGGATGGGGTGATTTATGCAAAAATTTTATCTCTAAAACAATAATTGTCCATTAAATAAAAATCCAAGATATAACTGAAAGTGTCACAGCTTGTTGGAACAATTAAAAACTGAGAAATTGCAGCTTACTTGGTAATTGGCTGCCTTCCTGAAGATATTTGGCTTTGGTTATTATGGCAGCAAACCAGAGATCAATATTCTTGTATTTGGTAATAACTCCTCTCATTAACCTGTCATTTTAAAAAGCTTTGCTATTATTGTCTTAAACTCCTAAGTGAGTTTTTTTAAAATTTAATTTCCTTTCTTTCTTTTTTTTTTTCGTAAAATGCTTTGAAGGTCTTAGGTGAGTGCTGTGGAAATATGTTGTGGCTTCTGAAAATATCCCTTTGTATAGATTATATTCTGTTGATAAATTTCAGACAATTATCTTGTTAAAAATAAAATTTCCACAACATAAAATTTGTGTATGAACTCATAAGCTTTGTTTGCAATTCATGAGTTGGGAAGCATCTGGTCTGGAAGTCAGGCAAGAGCTTCAAAGTGCAACACAAAGCGCAAGGGTTTTTATAGGTATAGACACACCAGAACAAGGAAGCTATACTGGGTAATTTTGAATTGTCTGGTGGGCATTTTCTTTCCTAATTTGGGATTAAGAGGAAATTTTGAACTAGGTCAAGCTGAGCATGCAAGTCCTAATTGGTTGACTTAGGTCCCAGCTTCCGGGAAGGACAGGCATTTTCAAGAAATAGACTTAGTCAGGTTTCGATATGCTGACATAGATAGGGCTTTGCATAAGTGACTTCATTTTAGGTCTAGTAGTCAGGTTAAGAAACTGATGTTTCTGATATTTAACTACACTTAAATTTAATATATAATGAATTATAACCAAACTTTAAAACATCTATATATATTTCATTTAGCACCTGTTAACCACTCTACTGCTGATAAGATTCCTTTAACAAAAGTGGGACGACGTCTGTACACTGTTAGACACAGAGAGTCTGGAGTTGAAAGATCTATTGTTTGTCAGATTGATGCAGTGGAAGGAAGTAAGAAGGTAACAATTCGCTCCCCAGTGCAGGTACGAAATGATACATTTTTTACCTGGGGTCATATCATGCATATTTGTGTGCTAAGAAAAAAGAAAAAACTAAAGCAGATTATTACCAGAGGAAGACAATCGGTAATGCAAATACAGCTAGTGTCAAAAAGAAGAAACATCACCAGTAATTGTGCTACTCTAATATGGTCACTATGAGTCAGAATCAACTCTGCATCAATGGGTGGGTTTGAGTAATATGGTCAGTGGTAGAATTCTGTTGAATATACTTCTTGTAAAGATTCTTACAATCTTTTACTATTTATAAAATCTTTTTGTATTATTATTTTGTTGAAACATATTAATCAACATTTTGTTTTAGATTTTTGTAGCATGTATATGTTCTGTTTTTGTAAATTATGGAATGCGGTAATAAAATTTTTTACAGCTTTACTGGGATGTAATTGACATAATAAATTGTATGTATTTGACATATACAACTTGATGAGTTTTGACACAAAAATACACCTGTGAAACCATGATCACAGACTACATAATGAACATATTTATCACCACTACAAGTATCCTTTCTCTTTACTCCCCCACCCCCAGGCAACCACTGGTCTTCTGTCACTATACTTTGGTTGCACCAAATAGAATTTTGTATAAATGGCATGGAGTACAGAATGGAGTCTGGCTTCTTTCATTCAGCATAATGTTTTTGTATGTTATCAACTTTTGTGTACCAATGTTACATATTATTGCTGAATAGTAATCTTATATGGCTATACTGCATATCCATTTTGAGTGAATTTTTGTATATGATGTGAGGTGAGGGTTGAAGTATTCTCCCTGTGCCCCCACATGACTATCCAATTTCTTTCCCCATAAAATTGCCTTGGCAGCTTTGTTAAAAATCAGTTGGCCATGTATATTTGGATTTATTTCTGAAATCTCTATTTCATTTATATATTTATCTTTATGCAAGTACCACATTGTCTTGATTACTACTGTATCATAGGCCTTGAAATCAAGAGGGATAAGTAGTCCAACTTTGTTCATTTCCAAAGTTGTTTTGGCTATTGTAGGTCCTTTCCATTTCCACTTAAATTTCAAAATCAGCTTGTCAATTTTTATGAAAAATTCTACAGGGATATTAATTGAGATTCTGTTAAATGTATAAATAAGTTTTGGGGAGAATTGATACCTTAACAATATTGAGTCTTTAACCCACGTAGTTTATGTTTCCATTTATTTAAGTCTTATGTGAGTGTTTTGTAGTCTTCAGGGTACAGGCCATACACATCTTTTGACAGATTTGTTTGTGTTTCATATTTTGATGATATTGCAGTTGGTATGTTTTTAAATTTTAGTTTCTGATTATTTATTGCTAGTATTTAGAAATATAATGAATTTTTAGATAGTAGTGTTGTATTCTGCAACCTAACTAGACTCACTTATTAGTACTAGTAGCTTTTTTGTAGATATAGGTAAATATGACATCTGGAAATAAAGACAATTTTACTTCTTTCTATTCTGGATATGCTTTGTTTTATTTGTATTTTGCTTGCCTATTGCCTGGCTAGAACCCCAGTACAATTTGAATAAAAGTGGTGAGAGCAAAAGTTTTACTGAACCTTAAACATAGTTTACTCATGTACATGTGCTGAGAAGTTCTCAACCTATGTCTTGGAACAGAGGGAGGCCTCTCTTAAAGCTCAGGAGTTGTCTTTATGTGCAGCTCTTGCCTCTGATGTGTGTGTGTGTGTGTGTGTGTGTGTGTGTGTGTGTGTGTGTGTTTTCTCCCTGTGCTGTCTGTTGTCCAGTGTTTGAAAACCTGTTTTACACACACACACATAAACATTTGTTTCTTAGTTGTTTACAGTGGGAATGCGTATCTGGCTCAGTATTCCATCATGGCTAAAAACAGAAATCCCTTTTTTTTAATTTTCAGTTTAAAGTGAACCCTTTTAAAAGATGATTGTAGGGCAGCTCTCATTAATGTTGACTCTTTTTCTATTTTATTAAATCATTAACCAATAGTATTGAATTTCTTAGAGATACTGTTTGTTTAATTGTGCTGTAGGTAGAAGTTTACAGAGCAAATTAGTTTCTCATTAAACAATACACAGATTGTTTTGTGATATTGTTTGCCAACCTCGCAATGTGTCAACACTCTCCCCTTCTCCACCGGGTTCTCCATTTCCATTCTTCCAGCTTTCCTGTCCCTTCCTGCCTTCTTGTCTTTGCTTTTGGGCAGGTGTGCCCATTAGTCTTGTATACATGATTGGACTATGAAGCCTGTTCCTCATGTATGTTATTGTTTGTTTTATAGAACTATCTGATCTTTGGCTGAAGGGTGAACTTCGGGAGTTATAGATGTTATTGATAGAAATTAAAATGTATTTCAGTTGTTCCAAATAGGTAAACACTTCATCTAAAATTAAAAATGTAGTGCATTTAAGATTATGTATTTATCAGGTTATTAGTTCTCACTCAACATGTTTTATATGTTGGTAAGATTTTTAAAATATAAAAAGGTTTTAATCAGATATAGAAAGATTATAATAAGAAGATGGTTTTACCAACCAATTTGTTATCAGCCATCCCAAAGATGAATGTAAGTGTTTGGAGATTTATCTGATAACATGTATTAATCATAATAATATTACCTACTACTTTTACATCATTGTTGTATGCTACTTGTTGTATGAGATAGTCTATGTACACATTCTTATCTGTTGTTTAAAGAAATCATGTGAATAATATGGACTCCCTTTTATATATGAAGAAACTGAAGTCCTAAGGAATTGACCAAGATAGCTTTTTACCTGGTATTTCCAGGAAAGCATATTGGGATGCAGATGACTGAGAAGTGATGTTTTTGGAGCCGTAACCTTAAACAGACTGTAATTTAAAAAAAACAAAATTAAAAAACAAATCTATCAGCTACCCTTAACATTTTGTTAACTATAGTTTACTCACTATACCTCACAATAGACAAACTAGTTGAAATCTACAGATTATTAATCATATTTTTAGTATTGATAAAAATTAGAGACAGTCTAAATATCTGTAAGGAATTGGTTCAGTACTCTACAGAGCAAATTAGAAAGAATACTTAATAACATAGGTAAATTTTCGAGTGAAACATCGAGTGAAAAAGGTCACAAATAGCGTCCATCTCTAGTCTTGTTTTTTTAAAAGAGGATGTTTTGTATAGATAAGCAGATCCTGTAGGGTTGCTATGAGTTGGAATTGACTCGATGGCAACAGGTTTTTTTTTTTTTTTTGGTTTTGTGTATCTCCATTTTTTTTTTTTTTAATGTTCTAGTATACCAAGTCATTAGTTTTGCTAGTGAGGAAAAATGGTATTTTTTAAAATAATAAAAATTTGCCCAGGGTCTCACAGCTAATTAGCAGTACCAGGATTTGATCTTAAGTTTGTTTCACTTCAAAGTCTATTTTCTTTATAATATTACACTGTTGTTGTATGGTCATAGATTCTGGGAATTCTTCCACCAGGATTGCTTAGCCATAGCTTGCTTTTATATAGATGTTTACCCTGTTTTTCCTCCCCTCCCCCTACCCTTGCCCACTGTCTCCTTAGTGTTATTCTCATTCTATTTTCCAGGCCTTTTGCCTTATTTCCAAGTTCCAAATCACTAGTTTATTTTCTGCTTCCTAACACATTTTTCCACACTAAATATGATAGGGAAATGAAGCAGCATCGCACTTCAAAAACTAATAACTTCACATTCCAGACAGGCATAATTGAGAAGCAGATGTCTCTAGGCTACATATACGTCATTGATAAGTTGAATGTACAATTAAAATTTATTTCAAATTATATTTATCATTAGAAAAAAAACGTGATTTTAATAAAACTTCTACCTAAGAACTGTTGTTTGAACATTCTGAATATTGATCATTGGTTTGGTATGGATTCCTTTCTATAAAAACATTATTCATCTTTACTTTTTATTTTGAGGAGTTTATTATAATACAGATCTCTCTATCCACACCTTGGAATATAACAAATATCGATATTTTAAACTTTGCTCCAGATATAAAAAAATAAGATATAGATTAAGTTAAAATCAACCATTTTGTTTTCCTCTTTCCCTTCTTCCTTCTCCCTAGAGGAAATTAGTTTGGAAATCATCGGTTTGGTAATTTGGGGTATATCGTTCTAGTTCATGTTTTTATAACTAAAATTACATGTGTCCATAAGATATATACTGTGTTGTGTTTCTTAGTGTCTTGGATAAATGGTATACTGCTCACATTATTCTGCCATTTTCTGTTTTCATACCACATTATGTTTGGAATCTAATTATTTATTGTTGCATAGAGATTATTATTTTAACTGCTGTAGCATATTCTTTTACATGAATATATCAGTTTTCATCATTCCTCTATTAATGTGAATGTTTTTATTTTTTCATATTAAAATCAGTGCTATAGTGAACATGAATGTCTTTTAGTGCACATGTGTAAATATTTCTCTAGGTATGCAACTAGGAGCAGAATTGCTAAGTCTTAAAGAAGTTGTATTTTTGGTTTTACTAGGTTTTTGCAAAATTATTTTCCAAAATGATTTTATCAGTTTAGGTTCCACCGTCAGTGTATGAGAGTTTCTGTTTATTTACATCCTGTTCGCCTGTTGATATTGCAAGACTTCTGGCTTTTCCAGTCTGTTAGTATGAAAAGATATCCTGTGATTTTAATTTACATTTTCTTGATTACTAGATAGGTTGAGCATCATTTCATTTGTATGTTAGTTTTCCTATTTCATGAATAGCCTATTCTCTGTTTTTTCTTGATTGCAACTTCCTTAATGATTTTTGGTATTTCTTTGTGTGTACTAGATATGAACACTTTATTATAGGCAACTCTCAGCCTGTGACTTCTTTTTCACTTACGTCATATAGACATGTAAAATTTTGATATATTTTTTCTTATGACTTTTAAAAAATTATTTGTATCTAATCAAAAACATGTATAAAAATATTATTTCCCATCTCAGAAGATCAAGAAGATATTACCTTATTTCCTTCTAGGAGTTTTTTAAATTTTGTTTTTGAGATTCCTTTCCTATAAAACTATGGGAACTTTTTTTGTATTTCTTAGATGATAAATAATTTTACATTTGTTTCTTTCAGATTTATAAGAGCAAGATGAATATTACCTGATAGTCTCTTTGTTGGGATATTTAGATGGGCTACTTTAAAAAATGTCTTTAGAATCTTTGATTAATGAAACTAAATATTTTTTTTCCCACAGATTAGAAATCATTTTTCAGTCCCACTGTCTGTTTACGAAGGCGGCACTTTATTGGGAACTGCTTCACCTGAAAATGAATTCAACGTACCTTTAGCATCTTACCGGTGATTTTTTTTTCTTTGTTTTTTTTTGTTCTAAGGTCTCTTACAGTAATTTTAGTTTCTGATGGTGTATGGATATCTACCTTTAAATTATGAAGTTTTAATCAAGTCTACCTGTTAATATCTCATGTATTAATGATATAACCTATTTAGATTTCAGGATACTTAGAAGGTTTTTACTTGTTTGTTTTAGAAATATCATTTAATTTAATATATTTAATTATTCCATGTAAATTATATTTTTACTGGTAAATACAGTTATTACATGTTTGCAATATTGCCGTTATAACCATAATCATGCATGTTTATGATTTTTAAAAATGTCTAATCAAGCATCATTGGTGGCTTCTGGATTTATATATGCTATCATGAAATGATATTTTGTTTTTAATGCTGTTTAAAAAGAGAATTAAAAAATATTTTAGAAAAGGTAAAATACTTTACGTATTTATATGCTAACTGTTTAGATAGAGTTGTAATATAAACAGAGATACATGGTGCGTTAATCTTAAATATTTAAAGTGATTAGATTTAAGTTTGATATAAACTCATTAAGAGGATTATGAAAATTATAACAAAATACTAATGATGGGCTAGTCTTATAATTATGGATTTACTATTAAACCAATAAGTATTATGTTCAGAATATTTAATTTGGAATTGTAAACAGTCTCTTCTGTGGAGATTAAACTCTATTTGAGAATAAAACCTTTCCCAAAATTAAGCACTGTAGTTTGTGTAACATCTCAGAAGTCACAGTAGACACGGATGCTTATGCCTGTGTTACAGAGGATAGAGGTAAAGCTACAAGCAGTACTTAAACTCTTTCCTGGTTCTATTCGTTCTGACCTGTGCCTAGGATTTCAAGATAGAATTCCTAATGTTTAGAAGATAATCTAGCAGTTTTAGGCACATATTTTCAGATAGATCTACTAACTTTGATGAATGTTTTATTGTTTAGTTCAGACTTGCTAAAAGGATTGTATTGTTGAGCGACAGAAAAATAAGAATCATTTACTATATCTGACCTTGTTTTAGAGTGGGTAACAAGACTAAACGAAAAAACCAGTGGCCATCAAGTCATTTCTGACTCATGAGGATCCCATGTGTGTCAGAGTAGAATTGTGCTTCCTAGGATTTTCAGTGGTTGACTAGATATAACTAAAGATAGCATGTAAGATTTGTTTGAAAAATTCTGTGAAGAACTTCAGATTCATTTGTCTTTGGATAATAAAAGTTATCAGCATTCTTCTTTATTTTAAATAAATTGTTACTTAATAAATTATTGCTAGATATTTTATGACTCTGTTCATAGAATAGAAAAACAGTTACGCCTTTAGAGTATTTTTACACTCCTTTTTCAAGGCTAAGTATTAAATTGTTACATAAAAGTTAACCCATTAACCCATTGCTGTTGAGTCAATTCTGACTCATAACGACCCTATAGGATGGAGTAGAACTGCCCCATAGGGTTTCCAAGGAGTGGCTAGTGGATTCGAACTGCCAACCTTTTGGTTAGCAGCCGAGCTCTTAACCACTGAGCCCAAAAGTTACTCCATCTTAATTAAAGCTATTAGTGACGAACCAGCTTGGATTTCACGTTAGGTACATTTTTAATCCAATAGTTAGATATAGGTCTACTTATATTTAAAATATAAGGTTTTAAACTGACAAATGATTATCTTTTTTCTGTAGAAGTTAAATACACTATGCTTTAATTTAGTCAACAAATATTTATCAAGTGTATTATGTGTGTAAGACACTGTAAGATATCAAGGTGAACTGGACATGGCTGTTGCCCGTGTCCGCCACACATCTGTCAGTTTGTCATACTGTGGTGGCTTGCATGTTGCTATAGTGCTGGAAGTTATGCCACCACTATTTCAAATACCAGCAGGGTTGCCCATGGTAGATATGTTTCAGAGGAGCTTCCAGACTAAGACAGACTAGGAAGAAAGGCCTGGTAATCTGCTTCCAAAAACTAATGGATGAAAGTCCTGTGGATCACAATAGAATGTTGTCTGATACAGTGCTAGAAGATGAGCCCGCTAGGTTGGAAGGCACTCAGCGTACACAGTGGCCACAACAATGGACTTGAACATGCCAACAATCATTAAGGTGATGCAGGACCAGGCAACATTTTGTTCTGTTGTGCATGGGGTTTCCATAATCAGAGCTGACTCAATGGCAACTAACAACAATAACATTGCCCTTGAGAGATTGATATATTACATAAATATATAAGGTAGAAAACAGTGGGTTGTGGAGAGTACAGAAAGTGGTATAATTACAGAAAACTATGGAAGTGCAAAGAAGGGATTAATGATGACTCTTGTGCAAAGTGTATGAAATATAGGTAAAAATAATGTGGACGTTAGCTGGAAAGGACAGTCAAAGTGGAAGGAAGTGTATGAGCAAACATAATGAAGCATGAAAGCACAGGGTTTGTATAGGTCTATAAGAATAGTTAGGGGTTTGATTGGAGTGTAGTATGCATGTTGGAAGATTAAGTTCACATTGAAGTATTTGCTCTTTCATTTTCCTGGCCCCATTTTTATAAAATTTTATCTCTACTGATTAATATGTTAATCTGTTCCTTCCTTCCTGTCTCAGCAGATTTGGTGTTCTTCTGTTACAAGGACATCATTCCACCATCTCTTCTCATTCAGAACCTTTCACTCCTGTTTTCTCCTCCTCATTCATTTCTTAAACCTTTCTTTAACCTTACGTGTTTCTCTAACTCATCTTCTCTTCAGAACAAAGCTTTTTGGGAAAATTGTCATACTGTGTAGCCTGCCTAGAAAAAGTTGACCCCGCTCTCCTGCCCTCACTCTGCTGTGTACACGTTTCTTGGTACCTATCATAGTGCAGTGGTTATCTTCTAACGTTATGTTTCCATCTGGTTGTGAATGTCTTACTTGTTTTTGCATTTCCAGTTTTGGCTTCTCATTGATACATAATGGCTTGATAGAGTTTTGATAAACTGGATGTGTATATTAGAATTAGTTTGATTTGAAGAATATTAAATTTTCATCTTTAAGTGCTAAAAGTAAGAATGGAAAGTAGAATGAAAATTACAGAGAGTGTAGAAATACAGTAGGCTAAATCTGAGAACTGATGTAACAGATTATTTTATATATGGTCAGAGAGGAAGGAAGAGCCTAATATTTCAAAGTAAAGAGTGTGTATAGCTGGAGTCCCTGAAAAAGGATACACAGAGAAGTGGGTTTAGAGGGTTCAGTGTTCAGTGTTTAATCTAGCAAATTTAAGGTGTCTAGAAGATATTTAAAATTTTAGGACTAGAGTTTAGGAAAATAATTGGGCCTGGAGACGGTTTTGATAGTCATAGGAGATTAGTTTTACAAATATAAAAATATTTAAATCGTTATTTTGGGGTACGACTTTGGTTAAATATTAAACCTAAAAATAGAGTTAAATATAAACAAGAAAGTGATACTTAAATAAAAGGATTACTCATATGTGCCATCTGATGATTTTGTCACTGTTTTATTGCATCCATTTCTCTGCAACTATGTCAGTGTTTCAAGAAAGTTAAGTATCTATTGAAAGCTTCCATTTGATTAACTTGGAAAAGCTGGTGATTAATTTTTTTAATAGAAATTTTTTCTTTAATTAATGAACCCAGTCAAGATCCGTACTTCCTGTTAGGACCACAAACACAAGAAATCTAACTTCTTTCAATTTACTGTCCAGAAAGACACAGTTGTATACAACTTGTTTTGCGTATACGACCAATATGCTTATGTATTTTCTATAAGAAACCGGTTATTAACCTCGTAAATCTACTTTTAAGATAATAAGTTCGGGAGAAAAATATTCTCCTCTTAAAAGTCAAATAACTTGATTAGTTACCAGAAAATTAAGATGAAAATGATCTATCTGTCTATCATCTGTGCGTGTGCCTGCCTGTCTGTCTATCTGTCCCTCTTTCTCTCTCCGTCTCTTATATATGGCTAAAAAAGAACATCAAAATATAACAATTTATTATAATGGAATGAAGGGAGATAATTTTATTATTCTAAAGGTACAATCTCATGTAATTTAATATGTGTTTTCTCTTAAAGCATTTTGAAGTCTTATATTAATCTTTTATGCAGAGCACTCCTTTTTCTGAAGCCAGAAGATGAGGGCTATGAAGTATGTGAAGGAATTGACTTTGAAGAAATTATAAAAAATGATGGAGCTCTTGTAAAGAAGAAATGTAGACCTACAAACCCTTCCAAGAAACCATTTATTGTTAATATTGTCCCAGAAAAAGATAATTTGACATCTCTTTCAGTGTATTCAGAAGATGGTTGGGACTTACCATACGTAATCCATTTATGGCCAGCTATTCTACTCCGAAATCTTCTTCCTTACAAAATTGCTTATTATATAGAGGTATTCTGGAATTTTTTTTAGTGTTTTCTTGTCTCTGATTTTGTAGCTTTAGTTATTTAAAGTTATGAATAGTAAAATGTTATGAACAATAAAAAATTTAGACTAGTAAAGAATATTACTAGTTTTCAGATTTTTCAAATGGAAAAGAAATATTTTAATCATGTTGTATACAAAGATAATTTAAAAAAATCTAATCTTATCCACTGATTTACCTTAATTATCTGGCCACTAAGCTGAATATAAATTACATGTACAAATGTGATATGTCATTTAAAAAATTATTTATGAAAGTAGTACATAGTCCTCTTTGAAAATTTAGAAAGCAGAGATAATAAAAATTGCCTGTAATCATATCATCTGAAGATATCACTGTTAAAGTTTTAGAATATGTATTTCTCAGTTTTTTTCCAGGTCTGTGTATTTTATAAATCATATACCGAAAGGGTAGATAGTAATGTTTGAAACAAGTATGAGAATGAGTATTGAAATAATAAATGCTAGACTTAAAAGGGAGAAAAACCACTGCATATTCATCATCCTAGTGTTAATTCTCTAAAAGGGTTGTATGCCCTATAAAAATACTTTTTCTTTGAAATGCTCTTTGTTTTAAAGATTAATTCTGGCTCCTTCCTGTTGTGATAACAGGAATTTTTCCATCTTAAGATCTTAAGTAAATATTCTATTTCCCATGCTCTTCAAATGAAAGGAAGTAGTTTTCCATTGTAGCATGTTAATTATTAGTTTATTTTGCTTTGGAATTTGTCATATGTTTATACTTTTCTGATACATGTTTTTTTGGGAGGAGAGGTTAAAAATATTTGTGGGTTAAGAGCATCAGTGTTTTTCCATATGAGTGACAGATATCATAGTGGTTAATAATTTGCACTTTATTGTCAGATAGGTTTGGAATTGAATCCGATCTCTGTCACTGGCAATTGTTTTGTAGAATCTCTCTCAGTTTGGTATTGCTTGATGTTTCTCAGGATTAGACTGAGGTTTTGCATCATTGGGAAGGATATCAACGAGGTGGTGTGCACCTGTCAGTGCATCATATCAGGGGATACGTGATATTAATATATATTACTGGTAATGTTAACCTTGATCACTTGGTTAAGGTAGTATCTGTCAGGATTCTACATTATAACCTTACTGTTTTTCCCTATTTATCAACCTTCTATATTAATTGGAAATATTGTTAAGGAAGAATTGCCACTTCTCCCCATTTATTTAATTATTCAGTTATTTTTTTATATCAGCATGGATTCAGGGATATTTATTTTATGTTTATAATCCAGTACTGTGAAGCCCTGGTGACGTAGTGGTTAAGAGCTACAGCTGCGAACCAAAAGGTCTGCAGTTGGAAATCTACCAGCTGCTCCTGGGAAACTCTATGGAGCAGTTGTACTCTGTTCCCAACTTTGACCGCCAAGAGGTTTTTCAGTTTGATTACTGTGCTCTTGAGATATACATGCATTTTTTTTTTTTTTAATATATCGTCTTTCTGGCAAGTCAAGGCGTTTAATACTCATCTTGTATTTTTCCTGTCCCAGCCCTAGAATCAATAAATTCTCCAAGGAGCCCTGGTTCATTTTACTGGAGAATGGTATTTAGAAACCAAGATCTGGATGTTAGATATACTCGTTATTACAGCTATGACGACAAATGCATTCTCTAAAACTACTTGTTTTGATTTCTTATTTACATTTTGCCCTGATTTCTTTTCTATCCTTATATTTTTTTCCTTTGAGCTACTAAACCAGCAAAGTTGTTCTACATGATTGTTAGGCAACATATGAAGTATAGTAAATCTTATTCCTACAAGTTTGCATCCAGTTCTGTACCTTAACTTACTTTTTGTTATTTTCCCCGTCTATTTGTCCTGCAGAATATATGCGTCTTGTTTAGGGATTGTACACTGTTTTCATTCAACAAACATTAGTTAGCATCTGAGCTATGTGCCAGGCACCATGTAGGAATTGAGGATTTAAAAATAAAGTAAACATGGTCCTGCATTCACAGAACTTACATAGTGCCTAGCTCAGAGTTTATGTTATAGTCTAGTGAGTTATTCAGATATAGGTCATTTATTATAATTAACTAGATAAGAACCGTATCTTTCCTTATGTTACCCAGTGTTCAAACACATAGTTGATATTCAGAGAATATTTATTAAAAGGTCAGGGGATCAGGAAGGGAGACGGTAAAGATTATGGAAAAAACTGGCGACATTACCAGATGTACTATCTACGTTCCAGTCTCAATGAACTTGTAATTTGATGCCTGTAAGGATCACATTCTGTCTGCCAGTTCCAAAGTACACGGGAGTGATACAGTCAGTTTTTAGAAAGATAGTTCAGCTGTGGTGGTGGAGATGGTGAGGGGACAACATGAGAGAGCAGTTAGGAGACTGTTAAGGTTAAAGATCACAGTTACCTAACTAACATGAACTAAGATTATAGAAGTGTGAGTAGAGAGAAGTGAACCGTTTTGAGAGATAATAGTATGTCATATAAATACTGTATTTTTATGCAGATTATGCTTTCTACATTTGTTTGCCGATCATGTCCTCCCCTGCTCGAGGTATTTTCATAGATGTCACTATACCAATTTTTTTTAACATATTGCTGTAAAAAAACTAGCATACCAGTCTTATGAAAACACCTTGCTTGGAGGTGGAGGGATGGTTGACAGACAAACAGAAGGTGCAAGGTATTTCATAAAACTATGGTAGTGCTTGGAAATGGGTTATGAGGGATTATTAAAAACCAAGAATGGGAGGTCGTAATGATTGCTTATTTTTGATTATCATCAAATTTCTCATGTTTTTCATTATCTCATAGTTTTCAAAATTAAAATCATTGGTGGGATAAGATTGATTCTTTTTATGTTTTACTAATTATAGTGTTTTATGTTTATGGTTTCCAATGTAGTTTCACATTATTTTATTTAATCCTCGTAATAATCCTTTGATGTAAGTCATTTTGACCACTTTAAAAATACAGAAACTCAAATCTCAGATTGAATATTTTACAGATGTTCATACAGTTGGCAGAATTAGAATTTAAATATAAGTCTTCTAACTCTGAACATACTACTTGTCTGACAGCGGTATTTCAGAAGCATTTTGTGTAGCATATGGAATAGAGTTTTTTTTGCATATTATTCTAAAACATTTTTTTCAATTCATTGTATTTATTTATTTCAGGGGATTGAACATAGGGTTTTTACCCTAAATGAAGGATGTTCAGCCCAGATTTGTACGGCAGAGTTGGATAAAGCTAAGCTACATTTAAAATTACTTGACTATCTTAATCATGATTGGAAAAGTGAATATCACATAAAACCTAATCAACAAGACATTGGTTTCATCAACTTTACCTGTGTTACAGAAATAGAAAAGACTGATTTAGATATTGCTGTCCATGTGACTGACAATACTGGCCAGGTGGTTGTGGCATTTCATAGTCCTTACTGGATGGTCAATAAAACTGGCCGAATGTTACAGTACAAAGCAGATGGAATTCATCGAAAGCATCCACCTAATTATACAAAGCCAGTTCTCTTTTCTTTTCAGCCAAAGCACTTTTTTAATAACAATAAGGTATGAAAATTTTCTTAACTTTTCATTGTTCTTTAGCTGTTTATCACTCCTTTTTAGTTTTGAGGAATAAAATATTATGAAACCCAGATAGAAATAACATTTGTTAAATATTTGAAGTTAAAAATATTAGAATACATTATTAGGAAGGGTTTGGTGTATTAACAATATAATATATAGCATGTGCTAAAAAGTAGGAAATTTATTAGTTTAGGTTGGAGTTTTTAAAGTTACCTAAATTGAAATATATTTGACATCTCTTTTTCTAGGTTCAGCTTATGGTAACGGATAGTGAATTGTCAGATCAGTTTTCAATTGATACCGTTGGTAGTCATGGAGCTGTTAAATGTAAGGGCCTGAATATGGAATATCAAGTGAGTTAATTCTTTGCTCATCAAAAAAAATTAAACTGTGCCTAAAATTTGTAAACATGGTCTCTGCATTCACAGAACTTATGCAGTGCCTAGCTCAGAGTTTAGTTAATTTTTATAAGGGTGTTAGGATAATGTGGAGTCCCTGGGGGGTGTATATGGTTAATGGGCTTGGCTACTAAGCTAAAGGTTGGAGGTTTGAGTTCATCCAGAGGTGCCTTGGAAGAAAGGCCTGGTGATCTACTTCCAAAAATGAGCCATTGAAAACCCTATGGACTTCGGACAAAGATTAGATAGGACTATAAGACAAGAAATGAGACACATTAGGAATGTGCTTCTTGGTTCAGTCAGCTCTATGAGACCAAATAGGCAGCTCCTGTTTGGAGGCAGGAAGAAATAGGAACTGGTCGAGTGGACATGGGGAACACAGGGGACCCGGCGTAGAAGGGGGAGTGTGCTGTCCCATTATGGGGTTGGCAACCATTGTCATAAAACAATATGTGTATAAATTTTTGAATGAGAAATTAACTTGAGCTGTGAACTTCCACCTAAAGCACAATTAGAAAAAGAAAAAGAATTCTAAAAATAAAAAAAAGAAAACCCTATGGAGCACAAGTTCTATTCTGACACACTTGAGGTCATCATGAGTGACAGTTGGCTGGACAGCAACTGGTTATTACTGGCTAGGATAATGTAACTGTAGGAATGTAACTTTTTTCCCTCCAGGTTGGTGTCACTATAGACCTCAGCAGTTTTAATATTACCAGGATTGTGACATTTACCCCTTTTTATATGATTAAAAACAAAAGCAAATATTGTATATCAGTGGCTGAGGAGGGAAATGAAAAATGGCTCTCTCTTGATTTGGAGCAGGTGAGTAGATGAATTTCAGATACGTGCCTCTTTGGATTTTCTTTTTTCCTTGAAGTACTTGAAATCTTCATGTAATGTTTTAACTTGCCCCTCCCCCCACCCAGTCCATTTTGAACTTTTATTGAGTACTTACTGTGTGCCAGGATATTTAATTATTAAAAGCCAGACCTTGCCATCTAGGAGTGCATAGCTTGATAAGAGAGGCAGGCAGTTAACAAAGTTAGTAACCAATTGGGATAAATATGGCAGTAGAAGACTAGATAAGGTATAGATGCATCAAAGAGAAGAAAATGATTTATTCTCTCCTGGAAGCTGTTGGGAATGCCCTCATAGAATAGGTTAAGCCAGACTTTTCTTTAAGTTGTTTGGAGAAGGCAGAAACATTAAGAGTAAAATATTGATCCTACCACATTATTAGCTGTTAGGCTCCTGGGTAAGAGCTTTCTTAAAGACTGCCCGATGTTGATAGAAAATTTTTTAGATAAAAAATCTGAGTTTTTTACTTATTTCACTTTTGAAGAACTTTTATTCTAAAGTTAGGATTATAAGAGAAGTGTACTATTTATGTTTATTCACTATTCCTTCTTGCATATAAGCCATCCTTGTGTATAAAACCTGGGAACATCCTTCTTGAAGTACATTCTTTAGAATTTCCTCTTTACAGCTGGATTTGATAGTAAATACCATCAGTTTGTGTTTATTTGTAAAAGTCTTTATCATTTACTTTATGATAAATTTTCTTGATATTCATCAATTCTAGATTGATAGACATTTTTTCTCAGCATGTTGTAGATTTAATCCCACTGTCTTCTGGCTTCCATATTTTTTATATAATTTTATTCGTTTTGTTACTGTTTAGGATACACACAGCAAAACAATTCAATAGTTTCTACGTGTACAGTTTAGTGACATTGATTACATTCTTCTAGTTGTGCAGCCATTCTCATCCCCTTTCTGAGTTATTCCTCCTCCATTAACATAAATTCACTGCCCCCCTCAAGGTTCCTCTCTAACTTTTCAAGTTGCTGTTATCAATTTGATCCCATATGTATAGTTCCTAAAAGAGCATGATGCTCCAGGTAGAATTTTTTACTAGTTAAACTAAACTATTGTTTGGTTTTAAGAAGACTTCAAGGGATATTTTTCATTTAAAGTTTTTAAAGGTTATCTCAGGGCAGTAGTTTCAGGAGTTCTTCTAAACTTTATGGCTCCAGACTTCCTTTGAAATTCTGGTCTACATTTTCCTCCTTACGATCATGATCAAAAAGTTCAGTAATGATAGCCAGGCACTATCTAATTCTTCTAGTGTCATGGCAAAGGAGGCAGTTGTTCATGGAGACAGTCACACATTCCATTTCCTCCTTCTATTCCTGAATCTCATTCTTCCTCTGTTGTTCCAGGCGAATAGAGACCAATTGTTGTGCCTTAGATAGCCACTTGCAAGCTTTTAAGACACCAGGAGCTACTCATCGAACTTGGAGGTAGAACAGAAGCTCTAAGCATGTTATTAGGCCAATTAACTGGATGCCCCATGAAACCATGACCCTAAACCTCCAAACTAGGGAACCAAATCCCATGAGGATTTTGGTTGTACATAAGCAGCCTCAGCAGCTACTCTTTTTTTTCTCTCTGGTCGTTATAAATACATCTGTCACACAACTTTTGCCAGTTCAACTTGTTACAGGTATATAGCTTATTGACAGCGATCACAATAATCTGCTGTGCAACCCTACCCTTAATCAATGGGATATTCCCTTCACTGTTACTCACCCCATTCCCCCTCCTTCCTACCTCTGGTAACCGCTGGTTAACTTTGGTCTCTATATGTTTGCTTTTTCTTGTCTTTTTATATAAATATGTTGATGGGCATTTACATTGTTTCCACCTTTTGGCTGTTGTGAATAGTGCTGTGATGAACATTGGTGTACAAGTCTCTGATTCTCTGCTTTAAAGTCTTTTGGGCATATAACTAGGAGTGGAATTGCTGGTCATATGGTAGTTCTATTTTTAGTTTTTTGAGAAAACAGCACACTGTTTTCCACAGCAGCTGTACCAGCAATGGATAAGAGTTCCAATTTTCCCACATCCTTGCCAACATTAGTTATTTTCTGTTTTTTTTTTTAAATTTTTTTATTTTAACCGTTCTCTTTGAAGTGAAATGATACCTCATTGTGGTTTTGATTTACATCTCTCTGATGGCTAATGACACTGAGCATCTTTTCATGTGTTTGGTGGCCATTTGAATGCCCTCTTTGGTGAAATGTTTAAGTACTCTGCCTATTTTATGATTGGGTTATATGTCTTGTTGTTAAGTTATAGAAGTTTTATATATATTTTGGTAATTTGATTCCTGTCAGATATATGATTTTCAAAGATATTCTCCCAGTTGGTAGCTTTCTTTTCATTTTTGGTAAAGTCTTTTCATGAACAAAGTTTTTAATTTTTATGAGGTCCCATTTATTTATTCATTTATTTTATCTTTTGCTGTTTGTGCTTTTGTTATTATAGTGGATAATCTGTTGTTGAAAACTGGACCTGACAGTGTTGCCCCTGCGTTTTCTTCTAAGAATTTTATGGTTTTAGTTTGCACATTTAGGTCCTTAATCCATTTTGTTGAAAATTCTCCTGTGATTCTGTCATTTCTTTGGAGGTCATCTTTCCTTTCTCTCTGGCTGCCTTCAGAGTCTTTCTTGGCTTCTTTGTCTTTGATGTTCTGTAGTTGTTCTACTATCTGCCTAAGTGTGTGTGTTTTTTAATTTATCCTGCTGGAATGCTTTACTCATGGATCTAAGGATTCATTTATTTTATACTTCCTGTAAAATTTGCAACTATTGTCTTTTTAAGTTTTGCCTCTCCTCCATTCTTCTGTTTCCTCCAATCAGACATATGCTAGGTCTTCATATTTTATCCTCCATGTCTCTTGTGTTTTTTCCATCAGTTTTACTCTTTTTGCTATATTTTGGATAAGTTATACATATCTTTTATTTCACAAAATTTACATTTAATATGTCTAAACTACTATTTAAACCATCTACTGAGTTTTTTATTTAAACAGTTATATTCCCCGTTTTAGAAACTCCACCTTTTCTTCAAGTTAACCTGTTCATTCATTCTTCCAACAAATATTTACTGTATACCTCTTGCTGGTACACTTAATAATATCCCTCATTTCTCTGAGACTCTGTTCATTTTTCTTTATCTTTTTCTCTCCCTTTGAATTGCATAATCTCTACTGATCTATCTTCAAGTTTGCTGATTCTTTCTTCTGCCACCTCAAATCTGTTGAGCCCCGCTAGTGAATTTTTTATTTCAGTTATTGTATTTTTCAGCTTTAGAATTTCTAATTTCTACCTCTTTATTGATATTATCTTTGTGGTGAGATATTATTCTCACACTTTTCTGTAATTATTTAAACATGATTTCCTTTAGTTCTTTGAACATATTGTAACAACTGGTTTAAAGTGTTTGTTTATTAAATCCATCATCTGGGATTTCTTAGGGATAGTTTGTATTGACTGCTTTTTTTTTCACAGGTATGGGACATATTTTCCTGCTTCTTTGTGTGTCTCATAATTTTGTTGTTGTCGTTGAAAACTGGTATTTTTAATGATACAATATGCAAACTAAAATATTAGATCTTACTTTCCACTCCCTTTCGCAAAGGAATCCTGTAGTCCCCATGTGTAGGGTATCTCAACATGGCTAACAGCATTCTGAGCCAAGAGGGTATGGTATAAGGGATAGACTGGAGACCTTAGTGCAGTTTATGCACTTTGACGCCATTCCTTTGTTTTTAATACAGCACCTCATCCTCCTCATTTTTGGTACAGCATCCCACCCCTTCCTCACCTGTGCCTGGTAGCCTTAATTCAGAGCCGGTATGGTTCAACCTTTCCAAAAAGCAAACGTCCTGTCTTCTCTTTGGCTTTATAGGTGGGGAAGGGATCTGTGAAATGGGGTAGTAGTAATAGTCACGTCAGAACCTGTCTAACTTCAGGGGGGATAATGTGATCCCTGTGAGGTAGAGGTCAGACATACTGCCACTCTCTATCCATTTTACCAATTCTGACACCAGCCATCCCTCCCACAGCACTCTACTTCTCTTCTGGATTCGATAATCCATTGCAGTGGCCACACAGAACTTACAGACCATACTTACAGTTAAATGGTTTATTAAGGAAGCAACAGGCTACAACTCAGGATCAGGATCAGGATACACGCAGGCAAAGTCTCCATTCTTCAGTGTAGGACAGCTCTCTCAGCTCCTCTCAGCTGTGCAAGAGAGCAAGCCCTTTTCTCTGCTGTACATGCCCTGTAGGCCATGCAGGCCACCTTTCAACCCCCTGAGGACAGGCTACTCTTGGCCCCCTTAGGACAGGCTCCTTTCGGCTCCCTCATTACAGGCTCGTTTTGAACCCCTCAGGACAGGCTCCTCACAGCCCTGCTGCTGGGCCCCTTCACTGGACCTCTCTCTGTCTTCAGTGTTACGCTTACAGCCAAGGAGGTTCCTTGCCTCCTTTTTCTCTTGCCTTTTCTTCTTTCTGTATTTTCCTGCTTCCTATCTCAGAAAGCTCTGTGAGGTTGGCTAAGTATATATATATATACACAAACTCCTTGTCAGTTTCAAGGCATGGCCTTCCCCCCAGGACCACGAACTGTGGTAGAATACAGCTATTTCATTTGTATAATAGGCTAAAGTAACTTCACTGGCATAGTCTATAGTCACTTTATTTGCATAGTATATTGACCAGTCCCTGCAAGTTGCATACCAATCACAGGGCAGGCTGCAGCCCAAGACCAGACAAAAAATATCAAACCACAAGTTGTTTACAGCTTACCCGGGAAATGTCAAATCAACCTGGACAAAAGTAACAAACCCTCTTGGGCAGAAAACTAGGGCAAAGGCAGCTCCTCAGATCTTAGGGGGAAAAAGTTTCTCAAGCTGTTTTTCCAAAGAACCAAGGTGTCTTAGTCATCTATTGCTGCTGTAACAGAAATACCACAAGCGGACGACTTTTACAAACAGAAATTTATTCTCTCACAGTCTAGTAGGCTAGAAATCCAAATTCAGGGCACCAGCTCCAGGGGAAGCTGTTCTCTCTCTGTCAGATCTGGGGTAAGGTCCTTGTCATCAATCTTCCCTTGGTCCAGGAGCTTGCCTGCGCAGGAACCCCGGGTCCAAAGGACTGCTTTCTTGGTGGCATGAGGTCCCCGTGTCTCTCTGCTCACTTCTCTCTTCTATATCTTAAAAGAAGCTGCCTCAAGACACAGCCTAATCCTGTAGATTGAGTTCTCCCTCATCAACACAACTGCCATTAATCCCATCTCATTAACATCATAGAGGTAGGATTTACAATACATAGGAAAATCACATCAGATGACAAAATGGTGGACAATCACGCAATACTGGGAATCATGGCCTAGCCAAGTTGACAGATATTTCTGGGGGACACAATTCAATCCATGACACAGGGCAAAGGGCCACATAAAGGAACTTATTTCACCACAGGAACTCAGGATCTTACTGTTCTTCATCTAAATTTTAGTCAATCCCCTTATTTTCATCTCCGCTCCATATTCTGTACTTCATTGTTTCCTGAGCTTTCTCATTCTCTTTGTATGTTTATACTTCATTTGCCTCATTCTAATGGCATTTTCAGAAGGACTAGCGATAAATGCATGTATATAGTTTGTCACTTTTTTTTATTGTGCTTTAGATGAAGGTTTACAGAGCAAATTAGTTTCTCATTAAACAATTAATACACATACTGTTTTGTGACGTTGGTTGCCAACCCCAGAATGTATCAACACTCTCCCCTTCTCGACCTTGGGCTCCCCATTACCAGTTTTCCTGTCCCCTCCTGCCTTCTCGTCCTTGCGCCTGGGCTGGTATGCGTATTTAGTCTCATTTTATTTTGTGGGCCTGTCTAACCTTTGACTGAAGGATGAACTTCAGGAGTGACTTCAGTACTAAGCTAAAAGAGAGTCTGGGGATTTCTAGAGTCTTAGGATTTCTGCAGTCTCTGTCAGACCAGTAAGTCTGGTCTTTTTTTTTCTTTGTGAGTTAGAATTTTGTTCTATGTTTTTCTCCGTCTCTGTCCAGGACCCTCTATTGTGATCCCTGTCAGAGCAGCTGGTGGTGGTAGCTGGGCACTATCTAGTTGTGCTGGACTCAGTATGGTGGAGGCTGTGGTTCTTGTGGTCCATTAGTCCTTTGGACTAATCTTTCCCTTGTGTCTTTGGTTTTCTTCATTTTCCTTTGCTCCAGATGGGGTGGGACCAGTGGAGTACCTTAGATGGCCGCCCACAAGCTTTTAAAATCCCAGACGCTACTAACCAAAGTTGGATGTAGAACATTTTCTTTATAAACTGTGTTATGCCAGTTGAACTAGATGTCCCCCGAGACCATGGTCCCCAGCCCTCAGGCCAGTAATTCAGTCCCTCAGAGAGTTTTGATGTGTCTGTGAAGCTTTCATGACCTTTCCTTGGTCAAGTTATGCTGGCTTTCCCGGTGTTGTATGCTGTCTTACCTTTCACCAAAGTTACCACTTATCTATTGTCTATTTAGTGTTTTTCCCTCTCCACCTCTCCCCTCCCTCATAACCATCAAAGATTGTTTCTTTTTGTGCATAAACCTTTTCATGAGTTTTTATGATAATGGTCTCATACAATGTTTGTCCTTTTGTGATTGACTTATTTCACTCAGCATAATGCCCTCCAAATTCATCCATGTTGTGAGATGTTTCATAGGTTCATCATTGTTCTTTATGTTACATAGTATTCCATTGTGTGTATGTACCATAGTTTGTTTATCCATTCATCTGTTAATGGGCAGTTTCCATCTTTTTGCTATTGTGAATAATGCTGCAGTGAACATGGATGTGCATATGTCCATTTGTGTGACAGCTCTTACTTTTCTAGGATATATTCCTAGGGGTGGTATTGCTGGATTGTATGATACTTCTATTTCTAGTTTTTTAAGGAAGTGCCAAATCATTTTCCGAAATAGTTGTGTACCATTCTGTATTTCCACCAGCAGTGCATAAGCGTTCCAGTCTCCCCGCAGCCTCTCCAGCATTTATTATTTTCTGTTTTTTTGATTTGTGCCAGTAATGTCGGGGTGAGATGGTATCTCATTGTAGTTTTTATTTGCATTTCTCTATTGACTAGTGATCGTGAGCAGTTCCTCGTGTCTGTTAGCCACCTGAATGTCTTCTTTGGTGAAGTGTCTGTTCCTATCCTTTGCCCATTTTTTCATTGGATTATTTGTCTTTTTGTTGTAAAGGTGTTAGATTTTCCTGTAGATTTTAGAGATTAGACCTTTGTCGGATTTGTCATAGCCATGGATTTTTTTCCAGTCTGTACGTTCTCTTTTTACTGTTTTGATGAATTCTTTTGATGAGCATAAGTGTTTAATTTTTAGAAGATCCCAGTTATCTAGTTTATCTTCTGGTATTTGTGTTTTGTTAGTTAAGGTTTGTATCCTGTTAATGCTGTGTATTAGGACCTCCAGCATTGACCCTATTTTTTCTTCTATTTATAGTTTTCAGTTTTGTATTTAGGTCTTTGATCCATTTTGAATTAGTTTTGTGTATGGTGTGAGGTATGGATCCTGTTTCATTTTTTTACAGGTGGACATCCAGTTTTGCCAGCACCATTTGTTAAAAGGACTGTCTTTTCCCCATTTGATGGACTTTGGGGCTTTGTCGAAGAGCAGGTGACCATAGGATTTATATCTGGGTTCTCAGTTCTGTTCCGTTGGTCAATGTGTCTGTCATCGTACCAGTACCAGGCTGTTTTGACTACCATCACTGTATAGTAGGTTCTGAGATTAGGTAGTGTGAGTCCTTCTACTTTATTTTTTTTCTTCAGTAGTGCTTTACTTATTCAGGGCCTCTTCCCTTTCCATATAAAGTTAATGATTAGTTTTTCTATCTCCTTAAAGAATGCTGTTGGTATTTGGATTGGGATTGCATTATATTTGTAGATTGCTTTGGGTAGAATTGACATTTTCACGGTGTTGAGTCTGCCTATCCATGAGCATAGTTTGTTTTTCCATTTTTGTAGGTCTCTTTTGGTTCCTTGCAGTAGTGTTTTGTAGTTTTCTTTGTATAGGTCTTTCACCTCCCTGGTTAGATTCATTTCTAAGTATTTTATTTTTTTAGGGGCTATTATGAATGGTATTCCTTGCCTGATTTCCTTTTCATTGTTCTCTTTATTGGTCTATAGGAATCCAACTGACTTTTGTATGTTTATCTTGTATCCTGCTACTCTGCTGAGTCTTTCCATTAGTTCCAGTAGTTTTCTTGTGGAATCTTTTGAGGTCTCTTTGTATAGTATCATATCATCTGCAAAGAGGGACAGTTTTACTTCTTTCTTACCAATTTGTATGCCCTTTATTAATTTGTCACTTTTAACCTCAACTCCTGCCTTTCTTTCTCTTCCCTTAGTTTCTCTGCTGGAAGCAAATATTTACTTTACCTATACTTGCCTGGGAAACCTAGTATGGAGATTGACTTTTTCCCTACCAGGCATACTCACAGGAGTCTCAAGAGTCCAGTACATAACTCTTAAAAAAGATACAGTATGATACTAAATATCAAACATGCATTTTTTAGCCAAGGCTTGCAGAAGATGGCAGGCTTGGGGGTGTCCAGAGAGCACATTTTCTCAGTTCCTTGTAGGAAATACGTTGGGATTAGTATTGCTGTTAAACTTTGGTTCTCCCTGGTAAGTTCCTGCTAGGTTGCAGGAAACCCTGAGTGAGAACATCCTAAGCCTCTTATGTTCTTAACTACATCCCATGTCCAGTTGCATAATTAACTTTGTGTGGTTGAATAAAATTGAATAAACAAGCTAATGCACTTGGATCTAATTTCCAAGTTCTGTTACATTGTCCCCAGGTTATATAGTGATGGTCAGGTATCAGATAGGCACAGTCTTGTTAAAATATGTAAAGTGACCAGCCTGGTTAGAGTCTCTCACACTGAGATAAAATTGACTTAATAGTTTAGAGACAAGGCTAGCTCTCCATTCCTAGGATTTTAGTTCTTTTCTTTGTTTCCAGAGCATGTTGTGCAGTCTTCTTGCTGGGTGCCTTGATGCTTTCCTATTCATTTAGTTTGGTTTCCAGGTCACTGATGTCCAGGTTGTTTCTTAACATTCTGAGTCTATTTCCTACTTGACCTTTGAGTACTTTTATTTTTTTTACTCTTATTTGATGACCAGAACTCTGGATTTAATACATGTCCTGACTCTTTTGTCATTTTTAAATTTTTTGACTTCTGCTTAATAATCAAATACTGCCCACAGCCTGGGTTTGATTTTTGGTATCTGAATGTACCTTTGTTTTAAACTGATGACTTGGGTCTAACTCTTAGCTTACTTGCTAGTTTTTGGACCCTTCTTTTTATCTGGACCACATACATTAAAGACTCTTTCCTCCCTAGCACTCTACTTACCATAGCTTTTCAACTTACTACACTTCTTGCTACTAGTATTCTGTGTCCACAAATGACAACCCGCCTCTAATTCACAGTTTATAGCTATTTAGTTAAGCAACCCAAGAACCAGAGCAGTGTTGAAAGGACATTTGTTAGAAAAGTTTACGCTTATTCTGATAGATTTACTAAAACGGTTTGGATATTTATGATGAAATTTGTTTATTTTTTTATAAATATATATACATATATGTTTTAGTGTATCCCCTTTTGGCCTGAGGATGCTTCTAATAAACTTCTTATTCAAGTTGAAAGAAGTCAAGGTCCTCCCAAAAAGATATATTTTAACAAGCAAGAAAACTGTATTTTATTGCGTCTTGATAATGAGGTGAGTTGTGTTTTTTTTTTTGGCATGTGTCATTAGAGAAGCTAATGTATACTTATTAGTATCTTATCTTTTTTTATTCAAATTGTTATCTCTGAATGGACATTTCTTTTTGAAATGAAAAAGATACCGAAAGGAAACAGAGACATAAAACAATTGTTATACAAAAAGTTAGTTGGAGTGCCTAGAATACTGGAATATACCCTGTGTGGGGTTTCACCTACCTGCATACAATAATTAAGATTCATGGTGACCCAGACACGCATTACAAAATCCTGGATTTCTTCCTGAATTATTAGCAAATTATAAGTTATGAATAGTTTTATTATTTAATGGTATTAATTTATATTCTCAGGGAAAATGAGCACACTAAAGAATCTTTTCCTTTCTAGCTTGGAGGCATTATAGCAGAAGTTAATTTGGCTGAGCATTCTACAGTTATTACATTTTCAGATTATCATGATGGAGCAGCTACATTCCTGTTAATAAATCACACCAAGGATGACCTGGTTGAATACAAGCAAAGGTAAGAAGATTATCATTAAAGTAGTAACTTGTAATTTAGTGGAGTCTAGGTGAAGAGACATTGACTTTATGACAATTTCTTAAGACTATCAACACTGATAATGGCATTATAACTATGTAAAACAACATCCCCAGTTTTAAAGAAATGTATACTGAAGTATCTAGGGGTAAAAATGACATGACATCTAGAATTTCCTTTTTTTAAAATTTGAGATGAAATTCACATAACATAAAAACTGTTTGAAAGTGAACAACTCAGTGATATTTAGTATATTCTCAATGTTGTGCAACCACCAACTCTTATCTAGTTCCAAAATATTACCATCAGTGCAAAATCAAACCCTGTATCTATTAAGCAGTTTCCCCCCCATTCCCCCTTTTCCCAGCCCCTAACAACTACATGTATGTCTTCTATTTCTGTGGATTTACCTATTCTGGATATTTCATATAAATGGAATCGTATAATATTTGTCCTTTTGTGTCTGGCTTCTTTCACTTAACATAATTTTTTTTTCAAGGTTCATCAATGTTGTAGCATGTATCAGTACTTCATTCTCTTTTATAGCTAAACACTTCATTGTACATATGTACCAAAACCCATTAAACCCATTACTGTCGAGTTAATTCTTATCATAGCAACCCTATAGGACAGAGTAGAACTGCTCCACAGGGTTTCCAAGTCTGCAAATCTTTACTGCCACACCTTTCTCCCACGAACAGCTGGTGGATTTGAACCACTGACCTTTTCATTAGCAGTCGAATGCTTTAACCTCTGCGCCACCAGGGCTCCTATGTATGTACTGAATTTGTTCATTCATTCATTGATAGACATTTGCACTGTTTTCACCTTGTTGGTATTGTGACTAGTGCTGCTATGAACATGAGGCATGTACATGTATTTATTTGAATTAAAAAACCAACCAACAAACAAACCCATTGCTGTCCAGTCAATTCCAACTCATAGCAACCCTAAAGGACAGAGTAGAACTGCCCCATAGGGTTTCTAGGGAGCGGCTGGTGGATTTGAACTGCTGACCTTTTGGTTAGCAGCCAGGCTCTTAACCACTGCACTATCAGGGCTCCATTTGTTTGAGTACCTATTTTTTATTCTTTTGGGTATATACTCAGACGTGGGGTTGTTGGGTCATATGGTAATTCTGTGTTTAATAGAATTTACTTCTAAATGTTTCAAAAAGAAGAAAGAAAAGTGAGAATGCTGAAGCAAGTGTGGCAAAAGCTTGATAGTTGTTGAGTCTGGTGAGAAATATATCAGTGTTTTTTTATGAGTCTCAGAATTTTATGTATGTTTGAAAGTTTTCATATTTTTAATATGAGAAAGAAAAGATTGACACTTCAGACTTATTTCAAATGATAGGTGATTCTTTCTCACTGAGGTGTGTGGGAAAAGGATTGTTACACTTTTCAGCTGCCTTAAGACCATAATTAAATCTTGATGATTCAGGATTTCTCTTAACATCATTTGTCTTAATTTGCTGTGATATATCCTGCTAGTGTTAAAACAGTTTATGCAACTTTCTGTTCTTCTATTTACTAGACTCAGGCTGTTTTGAATTCTTTTCTTTTTCTCTTTTTGTTTTGTTTTCACTTGTCATTTGTTAATGGACTCTTCTTTACTAGTACACTTATACTTTCCTTCCATTGCTAAATGTGCAACTTCTAATCATTGATTAAAATCAAATAGGCATTGAGTAAGGACTTATCCACTGCTGAGGTAGCAAGTACCTAGAACTCCTTTCCTGCTATTCTTCCATCTTGTGAAAGATGTTGTAGGGGAAAAATCCTGTGTTTTTTTATGATTATCCATATGTTTTGTAATTGCAAGCTAAAAATAATAAGTTGGTTGATTAAAACTAAATAAACCAACCAAAAACCAAACCGCTTGCCATCGAGTTGATTCCGAATCATAGTGACCCCATAGGATAGAGTAGGACTGCCCTGTAGGGTTTCCAAGGAGTGGTTGAGTAAAGCAAATATAAAGTATTTCTCATTTACCCTTCGACCTGTGTAACTAGTGTAACCTTTCTGAACCAGCATTCACAGAATTAAGCCCTGCAGAAAATGATTTGAGTGACTTTTCTCAATTCTGTAATGGTAATACAAACCTGTTCGCATTCTAGTTACGTTGGACCTAAGTTAGTTCTTTACATACTATGCGTGTCTTAGGGCATTATAGCTTAATTCTTTGGCAAATCTAGTTGAATCTGACTGAGGCTGAGCTAGGGACTTCTCAGGTTTTTCTTTGGCTTTAACCTTACAAATTTCTTTATAGTACAGCTTTTAGAAATCTTATCTACTCCACTGTTAATCAATGTAAAACTAAGCAACAGATAAGGATATAGATACTGCATTGTGATCCTATGTTGAAATTTTGAAACCTAAAAACATTATAATCTTAATGAAAATTTATAAAATTAACAATAATGAAGAATGAACAATGGACTTGGATTTAAAATTGTTTGAAGTAGTCCTTAAATCGAGAACTTGAAACCTTAGTTTAGACCCAAGAGTATAGGTTTTAAAGAATATTAATTCCACTTCCCGGCAACATGGCGATATAGTCAGAAGCACCATGCCGTCCCTCTGCAGCAAAGATCAGAAAAACTAAGTCAAACAGAGTCACACATCAATCCTGAAACCCTAAGCATCAAATGAAGAGACAAAGAACTCAGCCAAGCACCAAATGGAATAAGAAACTGACCGAGAACAGCACGAGGAGAGATACATACAGAGGTCCCCTATCAGCTACCGCAGCACGGATCCACCACCTTGGACTCCTATTGGAGATCAGCAAACAGGAGTACGAGAAATCAACTTCGTGGAGCTTCCAGCAGGAGACAGAACAACCGGTAACCCACGATATAGGCTTTCCCACCCCTCCACCCTTCTTTACCCCCACTTAGCCTCCTCTGCTTCCTGCAGCCACAGTCTGTTGGCTGGGAAGCACGAGCTTCCCCCTAGTGCCACTTGGATTCCACTCGCCCGCACTCGCCAGCTCCCTGAGTGCCATTTGTTGGCTGCTTGTGTTGCTTTTTTCTGCCTCTTTAGATTTCTTCCTTACCTTGTACCACCTCCCCCTCCTTTCTCTCAAATACCTGGCTCCATGCGCCATCTTTGCTTCTTCCTGAAAGGCTACAAAACACCGCTTGACTGTCAAACTGCTTCCCGGCCCATGCCGCCACACTGGTGGGACCCCCGGAGCTTTTTTGTTTGTTTGTTTGCTCTGATTTGTTCTCTTTTGATTTTTTTGTTTGTTTTCTTTTTCTTTTCTCAGCTTGGGAGCCCCTTCTAGCCAGGCAGTACCACGCAGCTTGGAAGCTAATCCCTTACTCTGCACAGACACACAGGGACATCCCTGGGGGCATTTGTTTTTTCTTTTTTTTATTTTATTTTGGTTTTGTTTGTTTGGGTTTTTTTTTTTTTTCATTTCTTTGTTTAGTTTTCTTGTCTCTCTTATTCCCTTTTTGTCTTTCTTCATTTCCAGTTTCTCGATTTATTCATTTTTTTTACCCTTTTTCTTTTTTTTTTTTCATTTTTGTTTTTCCCCATTTCTCAGTCTCTCATCTCTCCACTCCAATAGCAAGCTCGCTTAGCACTCTTTTTTGTTTGTGTGTATGTTTTTGGCTCCTGTTCCTCTCTCCTCTCTCATCTTTCCCATACCCATCTTAGCTCCACACATCACAGCCTACCCCCTCCTTCCTGCCTACTTGCACCATGTGGTGAACATCACCCTTCCAAGCAGCACAGACACCGCCTACTGGAACCTGCCCTGCACTGATTCCCGGTCTGCACTGTCAGCTCTGTTATGTGCCACAAGCAACCCGTTCCAGCAACTCCTTTTCAGCTGGACCTGCCCTGCTGTACCATACCTGAGTGACTGACCTTGCCCATTGGAGAAGGAGTTGAAAAGTATCACGCCCACAGACGAGCAAATAACAAAGAACACATACCCCACCCGCTCAGACATAACCAAATAAAACAAAAAAGCAGGACAAAACAAACAAATCTACAATCAGTAAACAAGGAAAATAACCACTGAATGCCTCAAAGACAGCAGACAATATCAAAACATTTACAAAAACAGGACAGGATGGTTCCAGTAGGTGTCCAAAATAAAACACCAGATGACCTTCCTGTAGAAGAAAAGGCACTAGACCTAACTGATAGGGAACACAAATCTCTAATATTCAGAATTATCCAAGAGTTGAAGCAAAAAGCAGACAAAAAGGAGGAAAAAATAGACAAATTCATGGAAAGTACAGACCAAAAAATGGAAGAATTCAAGAAAATAATACAGGAACAAAATGCTAAAATAAATTCACAACTAGAAATCATACAAAAACAACAATTAGAAATCCAAAAGATATAAACAACAAGATTTCAGAAATGGACAGTGTCATAGAAGGGCTGAGGAGCAGATTTGAAACGGTAGAAGATAGAGAAACTGAAGAAAAACACTGGGACACAATTCTGTTTGAGGAAAAATCAGAAAAAAGAATTAAGAAAAATGAAGAAACCCTGAGAATTATGTGGGATACAATCAAAAGCAAAAATCTGTGAGTGATCGGAATTCCAGAACGGGGAGAAAACAGAGATCATTGAAGAACTCCCAACCGAAAACTTCCCCAGTATCATGCAAGATGAAAAGCTGGCCATCCAAGAAGCTCAGTGAACCGCATATAGATGTTTGTCTCGTTGAATGGCAGTGTCATCCCCCTCTGTTATCCTTGATTTCCCCTGCCTCACTACACTGTCTAATTAAACTCTTTATATATTTTTAATCTTCTCCTGTCTAATCTCTCCTATCATTATCCTAGTTCAGGCTCCCAACATTTCTTAGTATTTGAGTAAACTTTTGATCTTTTTATCTCTAGTCTTGTCCCTCTTCTAAATGCTCCATTTTGGCACCAGAATTAACATTCTAAAAATACTAATTATCATCGTATCTCCTGTTTAAAATTCTTCAACAACCACTTATTTCTT